TCCAAGTACAACGCATTAAAGCGGGGTCAATAAAGACTGGGATTATTTTGAAGGATCTTCGACCTTTTGAATCCTAAAAACCACTAAGAAATTAACCAAAATGTCGATAATTGCTAGTCCAGATTGAGATATAGCTACATGTATCAATATCTCTTACGAGATACAATATCTTATTTAACAGACCTTTCCTAAAACTTGATGTTACCTAAAATTCTATTTGTTCTAAATAGAGCTATGCTATACGCTCTTAAAATAAGTACTACAAAGCTAAAGTAAGAATACTTTAAGTTTAATGATAGGTCAAGTACGTAGTTCTATCTTATCATTTAGTAATCATGTACTTATAAAGGGTTTTTACTGTACTTAAAAATATTTTTTGCGAATTTTTCTATTAGTTGTGTTTCGTCTGCAAATAAACATGGCCGTAGTTGTAAACAGCCAGTACGGCCATTCAATATTTATGATAAGAACCCGTCGAAGCGAGTGGTTTTGGGTTATCATTTTAGTTATAAAAATTTGTATAAAAAAGTCATAAACAATTGATATGAACAAAAATTTTAGTTAGACATGGAATCATGCAATAAAATCACATTCTTAGTTCATTTTTATTATCGGAAAATTAATATAGTCTGCATATTTCATATGAAAATTTGTGCAATTTTTTGAGATATAATAAGATATACCTATGTATATATATTATGCACATGTCAACGCACAAAATTCTTGACAGTTATATGGTAAGTTTTCTGATCATTTTTTTCTAGGAAATATTTTTAATGGATTAATTAAAATCCATAATGCTGTATAGTGCTGAAGTTTTTATGGACATTAAATTCAAATCTTAAATTCAGTCGGTTAGTTTCAGTTACTATTATAACTAAACTTTAAGTTCAAATATAGAAGTCAGTTACGCTTTGGGTCAGTTGATAAATGAACACTGAAAAGTTTCTAAGCGATATGTTAAGTAGACAATATCTTCTTCTCGCAACTCTTTTAATACATTTATTGTTACCAACTCATAATCTGGTTCTATGTACGGATTTAAGGTTTTTATGAATACGAGTGCTTTGTTTTTTCGAGAACTGATATATCGAAAAGTTCAATTCTTAAGTTTTTATTAGAGCGGTCCTCAAGTTTTGGAGTAGGAAACTCTTTTTTATTTGGTTCAAAAGTCTTGGTAGGATGATATGATCAACTCCTATGCAGAATTTAAAGCTTTTTATAATTTGATTAATTTAACGATACAAAAATATTAAGTAACCTGCTTATCTTCACTTAAAAGAAATTGGACTGAGTTCAAAATAAAAAATTTGACATATTTTGCCTGAAAAATATTTGATGAGCATTTTAAATCAAAATAATTGCTTGCATTATTTTTAATAATATAAAATTTATTTTTGTTTGCTGTATTTTAAATACAATACTAAATTTAAATAAAAAAGTAAATAAAATAGAACTGATTAAATTATTTTAATTTTTTTTCCCACCAACTAATGCACTTTGAACACTTGAATGTACAATAAAAATTTAAATAACATTTTTTCGGTTATCAAATATTTAGTCATTTTTTCGTCTGGGAGAAAAAGCACGTCTGAAGTGCCTCAAAAATTTCGGTATTTAAACTTAATTTTGTTTTTTTTACTTTTATTTCCATTGAAGAGTTTATAATGTATACAAAAATATTGTCTTTTTTTCATAATATTGATTTGAATTTTGCGTGTTATTGATCCATTCACTTTTCGTACTTCTCATCGCATATTCACCTTCTATTATTGCATTTATTGGAAATCTTATGTGAGTAAGATTGGGTCAAGTGGGTTTTTGTTAGAATTGCTTAAATATCAATAAATGTTCTGTAATTTTATTTTATTATTAATTACCATGAACATGCACAAATCGTTACTGTAATGTCTGTGAGTCAGAATACCATCGAGAAAATCGCCTGGACTGAATTTCGCTACATATTGCTTTTCTATCCAACATATTGTGTACTTAAAACCCCGATACTCTATTTTTAAGGCTAAAAAAAATTTAAAATGGATTAAATTGATTATCAGACAGGCACTAGCCAATGGACGACAAAGAGATTAATGTCTGGATAAAAAAAATTATATTATTCGAATGACTTGGGAATGTTGGATAATAGTTGGAACAAATGAATTAACCCGAAAGGAGATTAGAAAATGTGATTAGATTATTTTATGATAAACCAAATTGAATCCGTCTAAGAAAAAATATACTGTCTTATGATATTTCTGATTAAAAGTTATAAGTTCAAAGTTCGTTTTAAATTGCGAATACTTTCAAAATGCTTGCAAATTCTATCAAAATAATTCGTTAACCTTTTCCAAGAATTTCAATTTTTTAAAATCCGTTATTTTTTTTTTAATATTAACGTTTTATAAAGTGATATTTTACAGTGTACATAGGCTTTTTAAAAAGAATTAAAATATATAAAAAAATATATTAAACCAGTTCTACTATGCGGTTAAAGTCACTTGAAATTTTTTCCAAAGTGCATTATTCATTGTCTGCGTAATATATTCATTATGAGATCAATAGACCTACTAATATTTTAAGCATTTTCAGTTGTAGAGATGACTTTGACATTACACAGTATTTTATATACATATATAAGTAATTCGGATGAAGATATATGATAGCTGTTATAAAATTTAGCTAGGGTGTAAAGGAAGAAGATGCTTCGAGCAATAATGCTTTAGTGTTTAGTACATGAATTATTTGTAATAATTTTTAATCTTTGGATAATTCAAAGTGTTTATGAAAATGAGAGCTAAAAGTATCTCGCTATAGATCATTTTTTAAATTTAAAAAAGAATACATCGCTGAAAACTTGATTAAAAATATATTAAACTTATTAGGACTCTTTGTGCTAACCTTTCCTTGGACATACTATTACAGAAGTAATAGTAAAATAACTATTGCCAGTATTGAAGAAAACAGTCACTCCATCAAGAGAGGATATTTTTAAACTTATTAAGACTCTTTGTGCTTACCTTTCCTTGGAAATACTATTACAAAAGTAATAGTAAAATGACTATTGCCAGTATTAAAGAAAATAGTCACTCTATCAAGGGAGGATATCTTTAAACTTATTAGGATTCTTTGTGCTAATATTTCCTTGCCAGTATTGAAGAAAATAGTCACTCTATCAAGGGAGGATATCTTTAAGATCGTAGCTTTTATATCCGAACACTGGTCTCTTGCAGGCTACAAGAATCTTCCCATATTGACTGTAGAGGTTATAAAAACGAGAATGAAAAATATATAAATGAATACTACCTTCAAGCTAGAATTTGAAAAATGACTACTTTCGAATGTAATGATGCTTTTAGCGCTTTAACCAAATTGTCCAAAGCTAAGATTAAAAATGATCCAATAAGTATCAATAGTTAAGATCTTGTGTTAACATATATTATATTGATCAAAAAAACCGTCCACCACAATAACCTTATCTTACTTATTGGAACTCTTAGCCACTCTATGTAACTATAAAAATGTGGTCAATTGACGTTAAACCCGATCGCAATGGCTAAGCTTAGTGCTCATCATTCATGATAGTCAAAAATCGTTACTATCGCTGCTACAATAATAATAAAGAATAAAAAACTGCATTTAAACCTATTGCTTTTCTAATAAAAATTAGAAAGCTAGTTGATACTGAAGGTATGCACTTTTATCCGATTTAGGAAATATGGGATAACAATTTTAGATTGAGAAAGCTTCTCTAACATTGGTATTCGCATTTGTTACTTTAGAACAAATACTCATTCAGTGAAGCATTTTTAAGGTTCTATTAAAACAGTTTGAGAAAACCAGACGAATTGTATGCTCTGTCTGTTAGCTGTCAGCTGGGAATGTCTTAAAGTTTAGCATTTTCTGGAACAATTATGAAGAAATTGTATATTATTATTATGAATCTCTTCCTTTTGCAAAAGGAAAACGTTTGATTTGACTAAGAGAATGTATCAGCTTACACTTCGATAATATGGTAGACATTGTTAAGTACATGAACTGCGCTTTGAGCTACCATTCAAGGCTAAAACTCTGAACTGACCATCATTCATTATTTTTATAATCCAAGTTGATTCAAAGAGTACAAATTTTTACAAAATGAATGCGATATAAGTAAACACTGCCGCATAACAGCACTAAAAAGCCGGAATAATGATTCTGCAGAAAACATTAAGTTTGAGGTTATATAAATTAATATAAACGACATAAAATGGCATTAAAATAGAATTTCTTTTTTGTATATTTTTGGAATATATATGAGATTAATATTTTTGATCTCAGAGAGGAAGTACTGCACCTCTATTGTTGTACAAATACTCTAATTTTTACAATGTTACAGCACATCAGAGTAATAAATGCCAGGTAACAGCACTGAAAAGTCAGACAAATAATTTTACAAAACATTTCTGTAGAAAACATTTGTATGTACACATATTTTCAATGCAACAATATGGAGTAAGTTTAATAGATAAGTGTAGCAACCCGTAAGACTGAATGTAGAGATAATTCCTCCACATGCTTGCACTTCACACTTGACAGTGCAAAACTGGAATTCCGTATGAACGCTGAAACAAGTCATCGAAAGGCGGGCAGTGTGCCACCCAAACACCACAGCTGTTTTAAATTTATGCAATGATTAATTAAATAAACTAGAATATAAATGCGGAAGAATTTCACAATTTTTTTTTTGAAATTCTGACGATGAAAACGATTAACTTTTAATTTCACTTCATAAAGTAAACGAATTATCGCATAGAAATACCTGACTTTGCTTATAGAAATAAAATTTCTTATCAGGCCTCACTATTAAGTATATTAAGTGATTTGATAATCACACCCGACGTAGATAACATAGAAGTTTAAGGTAGTAACTTAATACTACATGATTTTTATGTGACAAAACACGTGTCATCAATTGCAAGTACATATGTACATTTATATGAATTAATAAAAAAAATAATTTATTTTATTTGAGCATTTTTTATTTTACATATGCATATTAATATAAAACGAAATTTAGCATAGCCTGATTATATTAAATATATGTTTTAGTTGCTTTTTAAACACAATTTAAGCTTTATGCTATCGAAGTTATTTACATTCGAAAATTACTTCAAATAATTCTAATACATAACATTTAAAATAACCTCTTTTTTTCTTGCTTAGGAGTATATAAGAGAAACACTCAACTCTAAGGTGTATGGTACTACTAAAAATTTTTATGCCTCATTTTGACAGGATATGCGAGTTCTAATTTGCGTGTTTATTGGTGTAAATGTATAAGTGTGTGGTTGTAAATGTGTATAATGTATTTCGATATTTTAAACTTATATTATTATTTCTTTATAACAACTACCGGAGTTGAGAAGTAATACATTTCGATTGAATTTAAATATATATTTGTTGAATTTAGGACGCAGAAGCAAAATATTCTTTAGATTTGGCTGGATCAGCAACCATAGTCTTATGACCAGGTTTCCAGTTAGCTGGGCATACCTCACCATGTTCATCGGTAAATTGGAAAGCTTGCACTAAACGTAAAGTTTCATCAACACTACGTCCAACGGGTAAATCGTTCATAGTTATTTGACGTAAATTTTGTTCACGATCAATAATGAATAGACCACGGAATGGAATACCAGTTTCTTCATCGAGAACACCATAGTCACGTGCAATTTTCATTGATTTATCAGCCAATAATGGTATATCCATTTCGCCTAGACCACCTTGACGACGTGCAATATTACTCCAAGCCAAATGGGTAAAATGGCTGTCGGTAGAGCAAGCAATTACATCACATCCGATGTTACGGAATTCAACAGCACGATCGGAAAATGCACAGATTTCCGTTGGGCAGACAAAGGTGAAATCCAACGGATAAAAGAATAGAACTAGATATTTTCCTCTGTAATCATGTAATGAAATTTCTTTAAAGGCACCCTTGACAACAGCGGTTCCTTTAAAGAATGGTGCTGGCTTTTGAAGCTGTGGCATCTAAAATTAAAAATTTAGAAAATTAATAATGGAAATATATAAAATAAAATATGGTAAATTTTTTTAGTTATTTTTATCAATTCATTCAGGAAATGTTATATTCGCGATGTTTGTATGTATATACAAAAAAATTATGACAAGTCATCGTTTTTGCAAAATAGAAAAAAAAATAAAATATTAATTTACACGTCCACCAAACTTTCTTTATAATTGATTTTGTGCAGATGCTGGTAATGAAGTATAAACTCTATTAAAATGAAATTAGCAAGTGGAGTTAAAAATTTCCCCAATTTACGTTGGCGAACCAAATATCCGGGTTTTTTTTTGTTATATAACAAATTTAATGAAATAGAAGTAAAAATTATTGTTTGATTTAAAATAAAAATAATAAATTTAAGCTGTTTCACTACTGATCACAAGTAGAACTAGAAACTAACGATGGACGACATTAACGCGTACTGTACATACAAAGGCTTCGATTAAAGGAAGCTTGTCATTATCAATACTACTCAAAAGTAGTCAAACTTTTTTTTTCTTATTAGATTTTACACAAAACTTTTGCAATTCATTTGCCCTTTAAAGAAGTAACAATAAAATTACATAGAAAGACGCTGTAACGTGTCAGTGCAAGCATTTGCTATTTTTTTTTTGTTGCTGTTAATTATTAAAAATTATGCAAAGAAAACCAGTTTCGGTATTGAAAATACTACAAACAAAAAAAAAAGTATATACAAGCACACGGAAATTGCTTTCTAAATGTCGTTTAAAAATGATCGGAGGGTGAAGAGCAGCAGACGAGATAAATCAAACACAATAGCGGCATATTTTTTTTCTTCTACAATATTCCATAAGAAATTGTTGTTGTTTCGCCAACAACAACACGTTTGCGAAGTTTTGCAAAAGCCACCGCAGCGTCAGCAACAATTGTTCATTTCTATACCAGTCATCTTAATTTTGAAATATATTTCACAATTTTCAAATATATAAAGTAAGTTATTTTTACATAAATTTCTTTGTTAATTTTCACCCTTTATATATCGCCATGTTAGTTTCATGTAATCACATTTTCAAGCAAGGTCAATTAAACATCCACTAAAATTTTAGTATATTAAAAAAACTACTTACTGTAAATTGTATTTTTTCTGTAAATTTATTTATAAATTGCGAAAAGAACATACAAGTTTGTTCTTTACTTCAAATTTTATTGTTAATTAAGCAGCGAAAAATGACTTCCGATGAAACCAACAAATTTCTATTAAACCGTCCCACACGATTGTCGAAAAACGAATGCTCAGCACCGCGCCGCGTTTTCAAACCTCAACACAATTTTAACAAAAGAATGTGCGCCAAAAGCAAAGCAAAAAAAAATATGCCGGTAAAAGCTGAAAAGCTTTTCATTTTGCAAACGAAAGCTACTTTTAACAGTGTTGTATTTTTTATCAATACTTTTGTAATTATAAATAAATTATTTATGTACATAAATAAATAGTTTGTTACTTACCAAATTGGAATTATTTTCCCCCATAAAAGTTATGCTCACTTTAAAAATAAATATATTTAAATAAAAATATTTTTGTTTTAGCTTAGTATTATTTTCAAAGTTTACTTTGATTAGCATGCTAGCTTATTTCTCTCGCAAGCTTATCTCTAACGAAGTTTAACAGTTCCGTTCAAATTGTTTTTTTTCTCCAGCAGAGTTTATAACGTGTTTTTATAAGCGCAGTAAGTTAATATTGATAAGAAAGCAGTAGAGTTTATTCCTAAAATCACTGAACTATTCTATAGTTCAGTTATGGCATATTAAAGTTATGGCATATTCATACTGTCTCATACAATCTCATTTCACTAATGAGCTGTATGATTTACCATACAAAGAGCTTTCATACAAATGAGCTGATTTACAATAAATCAGCTTATTTTAGACCAAAAATGTTGAATGCAACCTTTAAAATAAATTTCCCACAAGGGAAAAGACCAAAATTTGAAGTATGTTCACATATTTTTTAATATAAAATGTAAACAAACAACATCTGAGCTGTAAACAAGTGCACAGAGAAAGTATTAAATAATATTTGTTTTTATTAACTGAATATGTAATTGATATATAAAATGTACATAAATGACTTAATTATATATTTAATTCTTTAGTGTGTTATATTATTAAGTGAATTTGGTTTATTTCAGATGGATCCATGTAAATGGCAAAAAGAAGTACGTATTTCTGCGTTTTCCATTTTGATATATTTATTTTACACAATACCGATATTTTTCTTTGTGGTTTATTTGTAAACAAAAGAAAGTACTTTTATAGCTTTTTTAACATAAAAATTTCTAAAAGCTGTAAAAATGACCTCATTAATTCTTCCGCATTTATATAAATGAGCAAGTGTCTAAATGAGACAGTGCGAACATAGTATTAGGAGGTTATTATATCCAGTAATGAGGTTGATTCATATAAATATACTGATTATAAATAAATCAGCTTATTTAATGCGAAAACTCCATGTTTTCATTTGTTGTTTTACTTACATTTTCTACTGTACGTTTTCTAAGTACGTTTAATTTTTATTTTGTACATACATTCCGCGTTGAACCAGAATGTGAACCAGTTCAATTACTGGTTCACCGTATTATTATTATTATTATTATTATTATTTGCATGTAAGTTGAGCGGATCATTGCTTGCTGAAACACAGCTAATATTGCCATCAGCTAATATAAAACGTCGCTTTAATTCTGAAGCGATCATGGTGGCAAGAAGTCTATAGTGTACTATAAACAATTGAAACAAAAAATCACAAAATCACTTTTAATCACTATTGCGTTCGACTTATCCATTAAAAGATACATTTAAAGAAAAGAAAGTTAAACACAAGTAAAGTAAAAATTGAGATGTAATACAAATAAATTGCCAAATTACACTCTTTACACAGATTTTCATAGAACAGGTTTATGTAAAATCTGATATGAACACCAGTGCCGCGCAAATAAATAATATAAAAATTTAAATTCAAACCCAAACAGCTGATTCACACATCACACAAATTTTACTTGAAAAAATGTACGATGCTCTCATTTACTCGAAAATTTGCTGGTGGAACGCACTTGTGTATATACAGTGTTACACAAAGTTACTAAGAGGAGCTCGTGTAACAGACCTATTATTTGGCGTACTTTCAAATTAAGAAGTACTAAGAAATTCTTCCACACCGCTGATATTCATCAAATTACCACAAAGGTATTCACTCTGTCTTGCACGAAATGCATATAGTCAATACATAAATTAACAAGAAATTAAAAAAAAATAAAAATAAAAATAAAAAATTGAGTTTTACTGCTAAATATGATTTATATAGGGTATAGGGTACTACATAGGATACTATATAATGTACCCTATTCTTGTGGACTTCAAGAATAGTTGTTAAATATGCTTGTTTTTTCTATTGCACAGAGTTAGGGGTCTTAGATATATACTTATATTATTATTAATCTTAAAAAGTAAATTACTTAATATTTTTAGTAATTATTTTATTTTTTTTATCGGAAATGCTATTTTAATCAGTTAAAAGTTATTTTTCCTAAAATTATACTATGATAATTTTATTGTAATAATGTGTAATAATACATATATTGTTTATTGTAAATAATATATTTTTAATATATAATGTGTAACAAAAAAAATAATATATAATATAGTAAATTATACATACTTTTAATATATTTTTATATTTATATTATTAATAATTTACAAAAGTAAAATCACCAAATATATTAAACGTATAATTTTTTTTAACAGTAATTATGTTTTTAATAGGTAAAAAATATATTCCCTAAGATTATACTACAATTTATTGAATATTTACCACACACAATTTTCAAATTTTGTTGCACACTGTAAAAAATTGTCTTGCAATAAAAACAAAATAGTCTTTTTGTTGTAAAAGTAACTAAAGCCCAAGTAAATAAATAAAAAAAGCAAAACAAAACAAAAACAATAAAGTCGAATGATGACGTTTTACTCACACATATTGCACAACTACAACTACAAATACAAAGGAACAGAGCAGTTGACGCCATATTGCGAACGTTGTGTGAAAGCACAGCAAAGTTGTCGATATCTGGCAACACTATGTATCATACTGAGCTTAATGTATGAGAGGTACGGGGATGCGCTTTGCTGTTGCTTCTGTAGCTGACGAGCTCGCCTTTGCTGCTGATGTCTTTTAAAACACAAATGACACCACACTTTGTTGTACACACACTAAATACAGAAAAATGTGAAAAAATGAAAAATATTTTCATTGCAAGTTAAAATTGAACGGAAAGTGTTTATTTTTTAAAGTTTTTATAAATTTATTTGTAAATACCAACGAAATGTGTTAAGATTATAGTTTTTTACGGGGAAAACGTTATTATCGAAAAAGTGGTAGCGAAAATTTTGTGCTGCCGAGGAGAGGAGGATATACGCAAGGATTAAAGTACAACGAATTCATTTTTTATACCTGGAAAAAGTTTCTATGCTAGAGTTAGCAAGCAGATGGAGATAAAATATTGAGGAACGCTGACAATTTTAGAATTTACATTATAATTTATTTAAACCAGTTTTTGCAAAATATTAAAAAAAAAATTTCTTAGAAAAAAAAAGCAAGAAAGGAAAATCGTCTGAGTGTTTAAAGGCTTTAAATTTTTTTAAAGCAGTTTTCCGCACAAATGAATATGCTACACACCTTTAGCGGTGGCGATAATTGCGGTAAGTTAAATTCCAAAATTTTATATAAAATTTCTATTATATTTTAGTATTTACATAAAAGCCTGTATCATTTGGGCATATAAATAGAAGGACATTATGTATACGCTGTATATATGCCTAATTACGCTTTTATCGCAGTCATTAATTTTCCTACACATCATTACTGCTTCATTGTTGTTGCTATTGCCTGGCCGTCAAGCGGAGCTTCCATCCCATAACAGCAAAAAATTGTAAAAAATCTTAACCTTCATTTTTCAGATTTTATTGAATTTATCACGCACGTTTGAGTGTGTGTTTGCGGGCGTTGAGTGCGGGACCAAATGTTTGTGTGTGTGTGCATGCAATTGTTTGTTTGATATGGTATGTAGTATACACACACATATTGTGGCATAGTAAATGAGCAGTTAACGGTCTTTTAATATCAAACATATGGTCGCCGCCATAAAACGGCGTATAAAGAAAAATCAAACAAAAAGCGCAAATGCAGAGTAAAATAGAAAAACCAAAAAACAAAAAAAAAGAAACCCACAAAAACAGAAAAAAAAACACAACAAGTCATCATACTACGCATAGAAGCTTTTGTAGTGTGGAGAGAGAAAGTGAAACTTGGAGAAGAAAACAAAATAACAAAAACAACATTAAGTAAATAACATACAGTCTGCTGACATTTACGCCGTACATCAGCTGTTCGTTCGGCTGTGTATATGTGAGTTCGGTTGCGATGCGTTAGTGTATGAGTGTTGAGTATGTTTGGTGTCTGCTTGGTTTTCACAACTTATCTTGAGTTGTGATACTACGCTGCTTGCCATTGTGGGTGGCGGCCCGTTCTGGTTGTTTCTAGGATTGTTTTGAATTTGAAAAGTTCGCACAACGTGAGCACACAAATTCAAGGGAGTTTATCAGCATCGAGATGAAAGTCAAGGTTCTGCTGTTGCCCTAAGATTTGTTGTGTGTACTTCGTCCATGGCGTTTCTATGATTTCTCCTCACTTTTGCTGGGTACCTACACTTTCATATGCACCCGTGTACATTTTTTATTGTTTTTTATTTTACATAAAGACTTGCGTCTATTCACTTTAATTTGTTTCTGCTCACAACAATAATTCAAACTTTGTGATTAATGAGAAAAGTTTCAACGGCTTACCTTTTATTCCATTTTAGATCGTTTTTTTATTCTATTTTATTGACAACATTATGGAATTATATTTTAATTTTTGTTGCTGTTAACTGTCAAATCCAAAAATGTTTTCAGCACTCAATTTCTTTTTTGTTTTGTGATTTTTTTTGGTCTTTTAAATGTCAGCTCGGCTTGAAATTTGTATAAATGGTCTTACGGTTGGTATATTAGGAAAGTTGAAAGAGAGGAGGGGTAGGTGTATAGATTGCATGTAACAAATATCTGTTAATGTTGTTTGACATTTGGTTTTTAAAGTAGTTAAAGGAAACTCACAAACTCACAATATTAAACGCAGAAAAAACAAACCTTGGTGCCCTTTTATATGTAGATATCGATTGAGTTAGAACAAAGCCTGTACTTTTGGTAAAAGTTGCTGCAATAAACTTGATATATGTTCGGTATTAACCAACTTTTTTTAATTTGAATTAACATTTCCAATTTGTAGTGTTGTGGTTTAGCAACGATGAAGTGTTATTTAATATTAGCAGTTGAAAAAGATCGGTATATTTCATGTTATATATTGTCTAGGATTAATAATACTGGTTAGATTAGGATGAAGTGGTACCACTGTGCCGAAAGTTCACTCGAGCCACAAAGCTGAAAGGTATTACTTCCCCAATCAAACGAAAGTGAAACAACCTGACAAATTAAATTGTAGTGGCGGCTTTGTGCCCACAGTCCACTTGCGTTCAAATAACACAATGGCCCGTTGTAATACTACAGATACACATATCAGATCGTTTCTATCCTGAAACTTTATGCTACCTTGAATACTTTAGGGTACGGTCCCAATAATAGTTATGAGTTTATAATGTTTTTCGTTAGCTTCAGTCCAGATCTCGTTCGGGTTTTTTTATTTCTCTGTTCTATTTTATTTTATTTTGTTATAATTGTGCCAACTCTACTATCCAGAAGCTGCAAGTTGCTCAAAGTCAATCTCTCCAAAGACTCTTCAAAGTACCTTGGTATATCAGCACAAAAAACATGCTAAGAGACTTTAGAATAGACATGGTTAAAAAATATATAAGCACTGTCTAATCTCAGAATAATCTCTAGCCGCACGGGGCGGTAGGCAGATCTTAGATTAATCATCGTATAATCACGAAGCTTTTGAGGAATACATAAATTACTCAGTGAGAAGGGTGGGACTCTGCAGATACCCCCCAGCTATCAAAGAACAAAAGTCCCCAGATGTACTAACTTGGAAAAGATTCAACATGAACATGAACTTTAGATAATTTCAAATTTTTTAACAGTAAAAATCATTGCATAGTTTTAGGTACGAATATTACTTTAGAGGATGGAGTGGTCTTGCGCTTATTTGCATGTACTTTTTACTTGAAATATTTATCGATATTAGAAATGTTTAATATAGTGTACAAAATTAAAATTTTATTTTAAATTTAAATAATTTAATTGAAAATTTTTTTTTATTTTAATGATAGGATTTAAATTAAATATATTGTTGGAAGTAGCAATATCAATCGAAATCCAGATTTTCAACAAAAAATCTAATCAAATTAAATCCTTATACTATAAAATTCTCAAAATTTCAAAATATCATATATATAAGGATTTCGACAATATTAGATTAGGAAATAGTACGAATCTGTGCTTATGCTAAGAACTGTGATCATATTATACATTTTGTGCTGTAACTAACCATGTTATATTAGCTGACTAACCATATAACTAATCATATAATATGTAACCATATTATATATTTTGTGCTCTAACTAACTGTAACTGAATGGAAGAAATTCAGTTTTTCTAGTGAGTGCCAGCACCTGATTGAGGTGTAATTACTATTAGAAGAGGACGCATTGATCTGCTTTTGTATAGATAAAAACAGTGCAGTCATTAAGATTATAACTAGAATGCTTTCCCATCCAAGAGATTTTATGTGGCCTAAGAAAGACCCATCTTATTGAGAATTCAGCGTGTCAACCTTGAATTGACAACAGATTTCAATACATTTAGCTATTTTAACCGATTTTGGCCAATATGCCGATATAGTTTTCTGCTGGAAATAACGAAGTTTTGAAATATATACGAGAAATCTGTATCTACTACGAACCTGCATGATGCTTATTGGGGTACATTCATAAGAAGCAATATAAACATATTAGTAATGTAAATCGGAGTGAGTTAATTCAATAAAAATCTTAGTTCTTAGTAGTATCACGACTTAAGGTTAATATGGTGAATAGACACTGAGTTTTCCATTTCAGTTAATAGATTTTGTTAGAGCTAGAACTACGGACTATTTAGTCCTTAGCGGTATAATGACTCAAGACTAATATGGTTAATAGATTTGTTATCCTATCGAAGACTAATTATTCACCTCGAGAGCGAATTAGCTAGTTACCAAATGGATCGCATTACTGCATTGGCTTATGACTATTGTCAGGTTTTCTTGAATTTCTATGTGGTTAGCAGATAAAATATTATTTCTTATAAGTAAAATTAGAAGTGTGATACTCGTGTACTGATAGTTCAACCTATTTTATAAGTTAATTTTCTATGATTTGTATTTTGTGTTAGATTAGTTATGTTGACAGCTACTATCACTATTACTAGTACAATTATTATTATTAATATTATAATTTATATGTTAACTTTAATTTCCAATTTTAATGTTTAAAATTAAATGATTTTTTACTTTGCTTAAAATTTTCTCAAGAAAATATGAACATCATAACTTTTATTCCAACAATAAACAGTTTCAAGGTTTCATCTAAATGAATTCCGTTTCATTAAATCGAATTACAAGTGATACTCGCTTTTATTGAAAGAAACGGGCAATATTGAGTTTATTAATACATACTCATCGGTAAAAGCATTTACTTCGGTCCTTAATCACATAAAATGGCAATGAATTTATGTCATTATTTCCGGCCTTCAACTTCGACCAAAGGCAAAAGTTTCATTTACTTTTTTCCGCTTAGTTTATGAGAAGGCGGATGTGAGTACTGATTGACAAGAGCTGAAGGAAAAAAGTTCCAAGTAGTTATTCTCCTTTTGAAATCGTCATTAAATTATTGGAGTGAAATTTTAAATAATTTTTTTGAAGTGAAATTTATTTAACTAAACCCGACACTGATAAATTATGAGAGGTGTTTTTATATAAGTATATAATATAAAGTAATATAATTCATTTAAGTTTATAACGTCCACATAAGTCTATTGTCGACATATTACTACCGATTTTACATAAATTGGTATCAAATATATACTTGCTATATAAAAAAAAAGTAATTTTATTAATATATAATATGACATTGATTAATTATGAGAGATTTTTTGAATGAGTATAAAAAATTATGTACAATAATTCCTTTAAGTTTATAATATCTAAATAAGTCTCTTGTCAATCAAATAAATATACTTGTTACATAAAAAAAGGAATAATTTTATAAACATATATCTTCAATTTTCTTTCCAGATTCTGAATTAAAGGAACGCCTTATCGCCACCGTAAAAAAGGAAGTAAAACAATTGATGGAAGAGGCTGTTACCAAAAAGTATATACATGAGGAAAGTAGTTCAGTAACTTCACTTTGTGGAGCTGTAGAGGCATGTCTCAGTCACGGTTTGCGTCGACGTGCTTTGGGGCTTTTCAAGACCTCGTCGACTACTGCTCTTATACAGAAAATAGCTAAGACATGTCCAGAAGCAGATTATGTAAGTCGACGCTTGTTAGAGATCGAATTAGCAAATGAATGCAATACAATTGCTGGTAAACGTTCATGTTCGAGCAGCGATAGCATCATTAAACCGAAGCTATTGAGCAAGGGTAGCAGCAGTTCGGTTACAACGATTAATACTATGTCATCAGGAACATCGGTTTCAGCACCTGTCGTCAAGTGAGTATTACAAGCTTCGCAATCATCATTTGGCGAGATATTAACCAAGCTCGTTTTACTCACCAGGTACCTGTGGATACGCTTGGCATTATATGAAAAGCGCTTATCTAAAATTATAGAACATCTCGTAAATAATGCAAATAATTATTATGATCGAGACGCTTTAGTTGCGGATCCAGATTTTGGTTCTATTTTGAGTTCACTATTAGTTGGTCCATGCGCTTTAGAATTCACTCGCGCTAAAACCGCTGATCATTATTGGTTAGATCCACATGCAGATGAATTGGTAAGTGCAGTAATAACATCGGCGCATTTTAATAACTATTTCTGTTTTAGGTTCAAAGACATCGTATTAGTTCAGGCAATCGCACACCACCGACCTGTCATCGTCCTATTATCAATTTTAAACGCAGTCTGCATACAAGTTCGGAAGATACTAGCAGTGGTTCATTTAAGGCTAGTTCACCAGCTAGTGTAGCAAAGGACTATGTTGAGTCCCTACATCAAAACTCTAGAGCAACTTTATTGTATGGCAAGAATAACGTTTTGGTTTTACCTGTGAGTAATATTTAAATTGCTGTCTTTAATTTAGTAAGTTGTATTTCTTTGTAGAAGGATGTTAGTGAAGCTATGCCTGGTTATCTTAGTCTACATCAAACCATACAATCATTAACTATTAAGTGGACACCGAATCAGTTAATGAATGGTTACAATGATGCCGACGGTACCGATAAAAGTTTCTATTGGGCATATGCTTTAAATATTAATGTCGATGAAATTGTATATGTACATTGCCACCAAAATCGTGGCGAGGATACTGGTGGTACTATTATACTCGTAGGACAAGATGGTGTACAACGTCCTCCAATACATTTTCCAGAAGGTGGCCATATGCAATCATTTTTAAGTTGTTTGGAGACTGGTTTGTTACCACATGGCCAGTTAGATCCACCATTATGGTCACAACGTGGTATGGGTAAAATGTTTAATTGGCCTAAAAGTGTTAGACGTCGCATATTACCATCTGTTATGGAATCTGCAGATGAGACACCAATCGATTATGTCTTCCGTGTTGTCAGCAAAAGTCAACATGAAGAATTCTGTAAGTATAAAGATATTTGTACAAAGTACAATTTTTTTAAACATTATATTAATTTTCAGTGGCCACACATCCCATACTAGAGCTTGGACGTACTAGTCCAAGACGTAAGCATTTAGGTAGTTGCTCAACTACTGGTAGTAGCGAGTGCTCTAGTAAGAGTCTATCACTAGAGCACAGCATAACAGACCCACCGCTGGTGAGTATTTAAATTGGAAATATTTTAGAAAAATAGTATATATATGTCCTATATTTCCCATATTAGATTCAGGGCAGTCAAACTGCAAGTATAGAACTCGTTTGTTCCACTATGCGTAGGCAAATAATATCACGGGCTTTCTATGGTTGGCTAGCTTATTGCAGACATTTGTCAACTGTGCGCACCCATTTATCAGGACTAGTAAATGGACGTATTACACCAGATTGTAAGTTTATTTTTATTTTACTTATATATTACAGCAAAACCTATTACTGTATTACCTGCCTTACTATTCTTTACAGTAGGTGTAGATGAAGAGGGCTTAACCAAAGAAATATGGGAAGCAATGCATACGGATGGCGTCATAACAAGTGATATGGATGTCTTCCGGTTGGTTTACTTTGGTGGTGTACAACATGAGATACGAAAAGAAGTTTGGCCATATTTATTGGGACATTACAGGTACGTATATTATACTTATGTTACAAACATTAAAAGAAAAAAAAAATGACATGTATTTATAATAACAGTTTTGGTTCAACACCTGAGGAACGCGCTAAACATGATGAAACCTGTAAACATTATTATGAGACCACAATGAGTGAATGGTTAGCAGTGGAGGCTATAGTACGTCAGCGAGAGAAAGAAAAAACTGCACAAGCAATGGCAAAATTAACAGCTGAGAAGAACAAACATGCTCAGGAAGCTGGCAGACGTGTTAGTCGTCAAACGGAAATGGATGCTGATGATTTGGATAATGACGTTTTTGAAGATCACGATTTCTCAGACATATCTGATCCCGGTGATGACTATGATGAGGAAATGCGTATAGAAAATGAAGAAAATATGGAAATGGATGATTTAGCCAATGAAAGGGATAAAAAAAGTAGTACCACCGATTCCGGTAATGGTGAGGAGGAAGTCTGTGCTGATATCGTCGATACTGAAGTTGGAATTGAGGCGCAAGAAAATGAATATTTACAGTCAACAGAATTAGAAACTGAAGCAGAAAAGCAAAGCGAACAAATTCTTGTTGAATTTGAAAACATTGATGACATGGAACCGTTGACTTTACAAGAAAATTGTTTTGCTGCTGATTCAGAAGTTGAAGCTGGTCTTACACCTGACCATGGTGGTATATTGGTGTTAAGCATTAAAAGTTCACCATCTACTTCATCCTATGAAACAGTTGGTAATGAGTTTGCTGATATGGTTGATTTAAATGCACCAATTAATATTGTCGCGGAAACGGAAATACAAGAAACAGTTGAAATGGAAGAACCATTAGAAGAAGAAGAAATTCCACAAGACGTTGAAGGCGAAAATCAACGAATTATTAAATATCATAGCATGGGTGATTTGCGAACTTCAATTGATAATACTGAAGAAGGTGATGAAGAATTGAAGCCGACACATGCAGTTATCATAACTGAAGCCGCTTCCTTAGATGCACTACAATGTGACGATGAACATACTGAAGAGACATCAAGAAAAACCAGTCTTATGTCTCCAATGAATGAGGATATAACGGTTGTGGCATCTTTAGATGCACTACAAGAACCAAAATCGGCTTGCGTTTCACCGGCAAGTTCAAATGGTGGTGTTTATAGTGTGAGTAGTGGGATAGAAATTTAAAAACAAAATTTTATACTAACAAGTTATTAATATTTCAGTGTGAATTGTTAGAAAATTTTGGTCTAAATTTGCATCGCATTGAAAAAGACGTTCAGCGCTGTGATCGAAATTACTGGTACTTTGCTAATGAGAACTTGGATAAATTGCGGAATGTTATATCAACGTAAAGTTTAATTTTCAAAAAAATTGGGTTAGAAAGATTGCAATGTTAATATGTATTTTCAGTTACGTTTGGGAGCACTTGGATGTGGGTTATATGCAGGGCATGTGTGATTTAGTGGCACCATTGCTAGTTATTTTCGATGATGAATCCTTGTGCTATAGTTGTTTTTGCAAGCTGATGGAACGGATGATTGAGAACTTCCCGAATGGTGGAGCAATGGATATGCATTTTGCAAATATGAGGTAGGGTGTCAAACCAATATATTTTCTTTTTCATTATTCGATTGGATATAGTGATTAAAATAAATGAGCTATATATTGTGGAAAACATAGTAAAATCAGAGTTAAATTTATTTTTTAATACAGTCTAAAATACATCGCAGTTATTAAATTTTTAGTTCTTTGGACATGCTTTACACTTTATTAATATACTTCTTTATTTCAACTCCTTTATTTTTTAATTAACTCGATTTCACTTTTATATTAATTAAAACATCCCTTAAATATAAGAATTAAAATATATATAAATATATAAAAACATTCCCTAATTTATATATTTCATTTCAAAGATCTCTTATACAAATTTTGGACTCGGAAATGTATGACTTGATGGATTCTCATGGTGATTACACGCATTTCTACTTTTGTTATCGTTGGTTCCTTTTGGATTTTAAACGAGAATTGGTCTATGACGATGTCTTTGCAACATGGGAAGTTATTTGGGCTGCAAAACATGTCGCATCTAGTCATTTTGTGCTGTTTTTAGCCTTGGCTTTATTGGAAACCTACCGAGATATTATTTTATCCAACAGCATGGACTTTACAGATGTTATCAAATTTTTCAACGGTAAGGCAATATCCAACGCTTTGAACTTATATAATTTCTATTCAAAATTTGGATTCACTTTACTTCATATATCAATTTAGATCAATAGCTTCCTTCAAAGGTCTTCAAAGCGGGAATTTCTTTACTGATATGTAGTCATACAAGTATATCTATTTTTTGTCGGTAGTATGTGATATTCACAAACAATATCCTACTTCGATATGTTTAGTTAATGATTGATCGTAAGCTTTAAATTTCGAGACAATGTTTGTGTCCTTACAATTTAGACTGAAAGATAACTTAGTGTTATAACATATCTAACAGTTCGGTAACAGACTTGAGCTAATTTCGACAATACCTTCGAGATCATTAAAACGTTCTATAATGGTTCCATTAATGTGCTTTACTGACCACATAGTTTTTACTATTAAATAGAAGAGATAGGTCTTCTGCAACGCAGAATTCTGTAGTTATTATTACTAAATATGGCAGAATAGATTTTCCACTGTCGGTTCTTCTATGTAAGACGACATTTTCTATAAAAGCAAATGGGAGATATTTAAGTCGAACTTATCTAATTTTAATATGAGGTTCTGTGAGGACTTTTAATCGAGTAGATACTTAAGGCGAACATCATATTTAATCTTAAGACAAGATTCTGTCAGGACTTTTAAACACGTAGACATTTGAATTAGACAAACAGTTAAATTGAAGGTAAGTGTCTTTTGTGGCAGTATGTAGATAGCTATGCGTATACAAACTTATATATTTGTTGGGTAATAAACCTTATTCTTGCAAGTTAATTCGCACTGTTTCTGCAGTTCTGTTTAAAACTATTCGGGATTTTAAAATAAGTTTTTTTATAACCAAATCGTCAATGTAGAGTTTCGCTCAGATTCTGTCTTTAAACTTTCAGCTATTTGAAATTTCGCAAATCGACTAAGGTTTTAAAGATATTGAGGTTAAAGGATTTGTTCCTTATGAAATAGGTAATGGTCGACCTCGTTATTGCAACAATTTTTGTTAGCAATATTTCATATTAATTTAAGAGTCAGTAAACGCTTCTAAGACCAACATAGAGAGGACATAAAGATTCACGCTTAAACGTGCTTGATATAGTATATATAAATCATAAACACATTGTTTTAAATTAATGTTTATTATTTTAAAATCCTGTTCTAAAACAGGATCACTAGACTGTAGAGTATATAAAAGAAATTCCAGTCTTAGATAAATATTCACAGATGATCAGATTTTCTCTCTGACTGAAAATAAAGCCTTTTAGTGTAATAGTGTGCAAAATAGATGTTTCTATGACAATAAACTTGATTTGTTGGTTTCATTAACTATAAAAAATTGTTGAGTATATTTTCTAAGATTAAGTTTATATAGATATTTCATATTAATGAGTAGTATGTTTTAATTAGGACAAAAGAACTCTTAAAATATATGTATAATATAAACTCCATTGGGAACCTAGAATAGTTAGGATACTGAAAATGTTGTATTGCCCATTTCGATTAAAATTAAAGTTATATTAAAATTTTACTAGACAGTATATATATTATAACAAATTTTAGTTTTAGATAAATATTCAAAAATGTTCAGATTGATTCAGATTGATTAAAAATAAATCATTTTAGTAGACTAGAGAGATGTCTATTGAACAATAAGTCAATCTAATCCTTTGATTAATTTTAGGAAATCGTTGAGTGAATCTTTTCTAAAATTGAGAAGTTTAGTTGGATATTTCAAATTAAAGTCTAGTATGTTTTAACTAGGACATAAGAATTTTTTAAGTATATATATAGTGTTGACTTCACTGGGAGCTCACAGCATTGATTGTTTTTATTTAAGTATGTTTTATATATAGTTAAAGTACTAACAACATTGTATTCCCGATTTGAATATAATATATGTACTAAATATTTTCAAATTTTTGTCAGTAATAAATACTAAATATTTATATAAGAAACCTAATAGAACAACCATAAAGAAATTAATAATAATTTATATATTTTCAGAAATGGCGGAACGTCACAATTCACAATCGATTTTGCAATTGTCACGTAGTCTTGTGCTACAATTGCAGACAATAATTGAAAATAAATAAAAAGCAAATTATTAAAAATAAAAAATTAATTTGAATAAACTATAAAAATTAATAATTTGCAGATAAATAAAAAATAAATAATAGTAAGCACCCCACCATATAAAAAATGTAGCTGAAAATTTTCTAGTACAATTGTGTAGATTGGTTAAGCACACAAATTAGAATTGTAGTACTTCCACGGGACATACAAAATTTTGCTGTCTTCAAGTGGCAAATGTCCCCCTAAAATGTATTACATAAATATGTAGTCTAAATAAGTTTCATATTTTTTATAGAAAATGAACTAAATTAAATAAAAATGATTAAAATAAACAAATTATACAAACAAGAATATTATATACATTTATATAAAGATCAATAAAATATATATGTATGATGTATTTAAAAAAAATACCACATAAGTAGTCAAAAATGAAAAATCTGTAGCAAAAAAGTAGTAAACACATATTTAATGCCAGCAAAAAAATATATTCAAAAAAGTAGTAGAATGCATATCACATCATCTATTACTGTTTTAGTAGTCAAAAACAAAAAAACTATTCCGAAGAAAGGATGATTTTAAAAATCCTTTTAATTCAATTATAATTGAAATATAAACTGGGAAAATTTAAGTTAATAGGTTTTTTAATTTAAATTTGTATTAATAATTACTAAAATATTATAATATTAAAGTTTTATTTTAATTTAATAATAGAATTATTTCTATTATTTCTATTATTTATTATATTATATTTTTATTTTTGTATTAAAAATGTTTTGATATTTATTATAATTAATTAAAAATCTA